ACCTCCGTAATTAAATACCCATCCAGTCACTTTGTAATTTGAGTGTGACCATAAACTATTTCTACTGTATAGTATTACACTCATTACATGACGGTGTTGTAGCAGGATTGTAATTTTGTCCACAACATCTACGGCTCCTCGTGTAACATATACGGTTGTTATTATGTCTATTTTGTGCTGATACAATGTGTTTTTAAACTGCTGAGCAGACTCTTTAGGACGACGGGATCAGCCGATTAGCCGCTGTACTCTGGATTGTTGTGGTTGAAAGAGAAAATGATCAGGTGAGACTTGTGTAAGATACACTGAAGGGAAGGGAGCTGCATGCAGATGAGAGGTACAGAGTGTATTCTACCCACAGAGCAGGCTCCAAGAACACATTTGGACAGGATGGTTATATGTATGCTTTTATTCTTTTTCTTATGATCCATTTATTCTTTTTCCTAGTGTTTAATTATAACAGCATAATTATTGCATGAAAACACTTATCCCATAGAGACATAAGTCTTTTTTTTTTGCCCCGCCTCATCACTGCCTTATAATTGATTCAGAGAAAAAAAAAGCTGCTGCGTGTGAGTCCTGCAGAGTTTACCTGTGTGTGTGTGTGTGTGTTAGAACGTACGCATATGTGTTCAGCCTACATATTAGACCTGTGCATTTGCACATCTGTGTCTGAATGTCTGTGTGCTTTTCCTGCCGCGATGCTTTGCCGTTTGACTTCAACGCCTGATTGGTCAACGGCTGCCTCTGCTGGCGACATGACGTCTTTCACTCCAGGAGGGCTTTTATTGTGCGTTGAACTGCTGTGTATGCTGTTCTGTTGTGCTTCCTTAACCATAAATATGATGCTCCCAGGCGTACTTTTCTTTCCTTCTCTCACGTACAATATATAGTACACACACACACACACACACACACACACACACACACACACACACAGACATTCAGAGGCATATAAATCAGGCTTAATTTGCAGTCTTTGAACAGTAGACTAATCTGGTTAGAACATTCTGGGATAATTAGCATAAGACGAACCAACCTCACTTGCAATGTGACCACCTGTACTTCTTCACACACACAGATTAAAAATAGCAGTTTTACTGGAATGAAAACGGTAAAAATGACTTCTAATTCACGGTATGCGATGGAAATACTTCTATTTCTCCCTCTTGGGCCACAACAAGGATTTAATAGCCTCCTTGACGGCTACAATATTGTGCAAAGCTACCTCCTGTTTCTCCTGCCATAAAATGGTTTTAGTTTTGTTCAGTGGTGTGTAGATTTGTTTGAGGAGGTGGTGCACTGCGGGGGAGGGCGCGCACACTGCTATCACAGCCTCCAACATGTAAAAAGTAATTAGGCTGATCGGAGAGTATACCCTATTATGCACAAAAAGGTGTGTGTGTGCTGGGCGCCGTTAATTAGACTGATGAGTGTGCGCTCTAATAAGCCCAGCGTAGACTCTTTTAAAGTGAGAATTCACATGGCACGTTCACAGGGATGGTTCGGCGTACTGTGCCCATACCTCTTGTAATTGTTTAAAGACGAGAAGAAAATCTGCCAATAAATTGTCAATCAAAAGAAAATTATTTGCGACCAAATAATATGAGCATTTAATTTGTTTGACCAACTCAAAATAGACATTTTGTTACAAAGTCTTCCTCAGAGCGCTCGATGTAAACAGATTCAAAGCGTTTCTGCTTTTATTACTAAAACAATAAGACCAAAAGGGGATAATTAAATAGATTTAAATAGAATACATTTTCTCAATGTTTTAAATTATAGGCTGTTATTACCGATGATCATACATCATTAGGTGTTCGAATTTGTAGCCGGCATAGATTTGTTACATATTTCAAACTGCGGTGTTTCCCCTGCCATCATATCAGCCCCCCCCAGGCACACATACCACCAACACCCCCCGGCCACCGATCCGTTTGCCCGACTACCCCCCCGCCCTAAGGATGTAAACCTTGGGGAGACGCTGCACAGCTTGTACAGGTTGCAGTTCAGACCAAAGGGACACTGTAACTTCTGGATCACATGTGTTTATTTACAGTTTTGCAGACGGGGACTCTCCTCCTGCTGTGGGAAAGATTGTACAATTTTGTGCATGTTGTTTTGCTGCATGGGGCACAATTCCCACACAGACAAAGGATGCCAATTGTTGCAGGCCATGTTGTTTTAATTTCCTTGTGTGTGACAGTTCTTTTAATTGCGGGTGCTCTCCTGGACGATTAAAGGGGAAGTGATTTACATTGTCTCGAGCTGAAGTGGTTCTGCTGGCTGGTGTCTTCCGAGTGTCTCTTCAACCTCTTAAATCTATGAAGCACAGTGATGGTGATTAGTGTTTTAGCTCATTAGATAACAAGAGGTCACAGCAGGACGTGGTGTTTACACGATGTTGGGCTGTCTGATGTGTTTATGAACATTAGAAATTGACCAACCAGGATCATTTGTTGTGGGGAGATTTCTAGCGGCGTGCACTATTGACCCAGAAATCCCCATGTCAGTAATGGAACAGTTGCACATTGTCTCATTGATAAGTGTTGTTTTTGGGGTCATTTATACCAGTTTATTCCCATTTTTCCACAACAAATCCAGCTGGAATTTGCACTGCTATTGCTGCCACAGTCCATTTCTGTCGGAGCTACAAATACGTATTCCATAATTATGGATTATTCGCACGCCGACGCAGAACAAGTTGTATTAGTTCAATAAGAATGTGTGTCTCGACAGTTCAAAGGCTCTTCGCCGGGAATGCAACCATAAACTGTACGTTTTCTACATCAAGGGAAACCAGTCTCTTGTTATCCATCACAGGGCAATCACTGAATACTCAGTACGTCTTTCCTGCCTATAAGATGAGAGGGAAGATTGGAACAAAGCTTCTTCCTCAGGCGGCCAGGGAGTCGGTTCTGCAGCAAGGTTCTGTTTTTTAGGGTTTGTGAATGATCTAAATAATGTGGATAACTGGGTGCTGGTTAATCAAATTGGCACAGTATGTTTTTGAATGCAAATTAAATATCTAGAAAATCAAAGAGCAGCCAGGAGGAGATTCAATAAAATAGATGTAAATAATCAATGATGAAAATCATGGTTAGATTGAGCCCAGACAGAATCTCAGACATTTGGTGGAATGATAAGAAGGATTAGCTGTACAGCCACATTACTCTCCCTGCACTCGGTCTTAATGTTCAAGCTGTGAACAGTATGTAACCACATTAAATGATGAATCACACGGGTCTCCCAAGAGTTCCTGGGCATTGTGGTGCAATCAATTTTCAATAAACGTATTACCAGCTTTGCTGGTATTGTGCGCTAAAGGTGCCTGAGAATATGCCTTGAATACCCTGTTCTGGAAATAGAAATCTGATGATATTGTGTGAATATTGCGCTGCACAACCATTGTTCTGTTCTTATAGCAAAGCCCTGAATCAAAGCCCTTCTGTGTCGCTCGTAAGTGTACACACACTATTCCAACATCTCTTCTGTCAACATAGTGGATTTCGTTTGATATTACCATATTTATTCTAAGCTGCTTTTCTTTGTTTTAAACCAGACTTCAAAGATCTCTGAACAGGCAAAATATGCAAGGCGAAAATGAACTGGCTTTATTCTGCTGCGGATTGATGTAAAAATGTTTTTTGAGAACACACCTCAAGAACCGAAGCTACAAATTAGAGCGGCACGATTGTCACTGTATGAATGAGCTTTGGTCCAAGATAGTTGAGCACATTTCGGTGCGACGAAGCCATTTTTATTTTTTACAAACGGCCTTCACTCCCAAGGGAGAGCTGAAAAACTGGGCTCTGCTGTAATTAGGCTTGCATGCTGGCAAGAAGAAGACTCACCCGAGGTAGAGGGTGAGATAAGACAGGGATGTAGAGTGAAGGAGAAGATGAAGGTGGGGTGGGGGGGATGAAGACGAGGGACGGTGGGATGTAATGAGAGGCAGGGCGACATATTGAAAGAGGAGGAGTGCATGTCAAGAATCAAGGGGGCTGTTTGCCTGTGGCTTCCCCGTGGTGGGATGTCGGTGAATCTTCTCACCATGTTTTACTACAAAGGAGCGCGTGTTAAGGTCTGTCAGTATGCCAACCGTACGTGTCGCATGCGGCACCCCAGTTCACGCAGGAGTAGCGCAGGAGACCTGAGAAGGCATGAGGAAACGTGGAAATGAGGAAACTGATTCAGCAAAGGGGAAATTGTATTTATTGTATTGCTTCCTGTGTGGTTCCAATGTTATTTTGACTTTTCCTGTTAGTCTTAAATTGCAGGAGAAGTAGCATTTCTCAAGGATTGTCGTCTTGTTCCACTTTCTAAACTAGACCAACGCGTTATGAAAGATGACTTCCATAACCTCTATTCTGGATTTTATATAACATGTGGTCGTACTTACTGTAGGTCCAGTTTCTCAGACGGTACTTCAATATTTCTCCATTTATCACGGTAAATAGGATTAAATGTAAATCATCAGTGTTTTTACTTTTATAATTAACACTGCCATCTGCTTTTTGTTGTTGCTGTCGTGCAGGCCAGCTTTCCATCTGAGTGCGCACGTTTAACTCGTGTGCGCTGCTATCAGTGTGTCATCCTGCTGCGATTGAATCAGTGAGCCGGGTTTGTATGTGGGATTACTGCAGCAGATAGAGGTGCTAATGTAGGATCAGGTTTGGGACCCAGATCAGCTCAATGCTGCCGACACACATTCACACAATAGAGTTGTCTATCTAATTGCTGTTGCAGGCACTGATTGATTTCACCTAAATGCATTTATTCTTTAAATGGTGAAATGACACTACCGCCTTCACCCTTATTCTGTACTTAATGTGAGACGTTATTGCTTTCTATTGCTGTCTGGTAGCACTATATCTAACTGCCTTCCGTTGACAAATGTCCCCTTTTGTTGCAAACTATTATGGCTGTTGCCAAGCTAGCTGCTTTGATGCATTATTATTAATTAAAATCATACCTTCCTCTCTCTTTCTGCCTGTCAGAGACGGTGATGGATACAAGGACGGCGACAGCTGAGCTCGGCTGGATATCGTTCCCCGCCAACGGAGTAAGGACAACGTGGAGAGGTGTAATGTGTTTGTGTGTACCGGGGGAGAACGCTTTGAGTACACTTTACAGAGCTCCAATAAGGAGTCTGTCTGTTGAAAAAAACCCAGGATGGATTCTAATAGATCAAGAGACAAATTAAGAGAATAGATCAAATATAATTGAATGAAATTGAACAGGTTATTTATTTACTAGCAAGTTAGGTAATAGTGTGTGTGTGTGTGTGTGCCACTCAAATTGTGATGAATGGTTGTCGCTCTTCAGGAAGAGAGACAGAGAGCTTTGTGTCGGGTGTTGCTAGACCCATTAATCATTTTGCCCCCCACCTCCTCCTCTCTCCCTCATCCACACCTCCTGCACCCGTCCTCACACACTCTCCCCAGTGGGAGGAGGTGAGCGGCTATGACGAGAACCTCAACACCATCAGGACGTACCAGGTGTGCAATGTGTTTGAGCCCAGCCAGAACAATTGGCTCCTCACAACCTACGTCGACCGGCGGGCGGCGCAGCGCATCTACGTGGAGATCCGCTTCACCGTACGCGACTGCGCCTCAATCCCCAGCGTCCTGGGCTCCTGCAAAGAGACGTTCAACCTGTACTACCTGGAGACCGAAAGGACCCTGTCTGAGGGCATTAAGGGGGTGGAGTACTGGGCCAATGCCCCTTTTCTGAAGGTATTGAGTCCATAAATGAGCATTTTAAAGTATGAATTTGGTGATTTCTTTAATCAGTTCACCCTGATTCAGTACATGGGTTTGGAGAACCTGTTAGATTATTGGAAAAATTCTTTAATCCAGGATTTTGTATTTCTTTGCTGTTTTTTTTTTGGAGGGGGGGGGGGTAACATTCTTTTCAAAGGAGAGGGGCGATATGCAGCCAAAAGAAAACCCTGCAGAGATCAAAACGTCGATCAACAGTCCAGAAGCAGATCACAACAAATGCAAATGTTATTAAAGACATCCTTCCTGAAGTGGTTAGAATGGAACACTTACTGATTGGATGTGTTTTTTTTTCCCTCTTCAGATAAGGTCATTTACATAGCCTCATGTTTGCGGCTTTTTAATTAACCAAATCCTTGGTTTCCGTGTAGTTTCACAGTACGTGTTGGATCCGAGTGTTGGGCGTCTTCTAGCAGCCTCCTATCGTTGAGGTTCATTGGGGAAATATCCAATTATGACGAATCTAATGACTTGATAAAGTATGTGGTTATGAGGGCGGAATTATGCAGAAGATCCAAACATTACAGAGTGAATCTAAATTAGAAACCAAGAAACAGGCCCAGAAGAATCTAACATAATTTCTCTGGTTTTCTTTGCCATTCCCGTCCTTCTGCTGTCGGTCTCGTTCACTACAAGGTGGACACCATCGCAGCAGATGAGAGTTTCTCCCAGGTTGATTTCGGGGGAAGGCTGATGAAGGTGAACACAGAAGTTCGTAGCTTCGGACCATTGTCCAAAGGCAAAGGCTTCCACCTGGCCTTCCAGGATCTGGGCGCTTGCATGTCCCTGCTGGCTGTCAGAGTATTCTACAAGAAATGCCCCAGCGTGGTGCAAAACTTTGCCCTTTTCCCAGAGGTACGGACCAGATCTAAAATGAAAACTGCGGCGCTCTTTCCAAATCGCACTTTGGTATGTATTATCATTCTGATTCTGTGCAGACGTTGACCGGAGCGGAGTCCACCTCATTAGTCATCGCTAGAGGAAGCTGTATCGCCAACGCTGAGGAGGTAGACGTGCCCATCAAGCTCTACTGTAACGGAGACGGAGAGTGGATGGTGCCCATCGGCAGCTGCAGCTGCAAGGCGGGTTATGAACCCGACAATGGCAACGTGTGTCGAGGTATGTCTTTTCTGTGCCATCCAAAATTGTGTTTGTAAAAAAAAAATGAGACGGCATGTTCGCTGTGTTAATTATCTTGATTTCTGATGACCTTGCAACTTCAAAAACTGTTGCATTGTGTGCACACACATTTCATTTTGTTTTGAGCCAGTAAGCCTGTTATGACAGGAAATCAATGTCCAGCAAACAAGCAAACATGCAGCATTGTCTCACCAAGCACACAACCAACAGCAAGCATGCCATGAGCAAACAAACTGTTTAAACCTTCTCTTTATAGAACAAATATCTTACTGAAATGATCTTTTGAACTAAATGTTTGCATAACCCTTACAACCATTACAAAAAATGCCATATTTAAATGCTGGCCTGCTTCACTAAACAAGGTGGCTTATAACGCAGAGTCAATTAAGTTTGTTTTTTGGAGTGTAATTGTGTTACTTTTGTTGGTCCTTGTTTGCAGTTTCAGATGTATGTTTTCTCCAGGGCTCGATGTTCCATATATCAATATTAGTAGAAGCAGATTTGGGTGAACATAAATAGCACAGAAACCGCTCCTCTACCTCATTCACCTCCTTTTTATATCTGGCCTCCTTCCCCATTTCCTCTTTGAAGTTGTACCCATCGTTTCTTATTCTGCCTGGTGAGTCTCATCCATTTTGTGTGTGTGAATATGTGCGTGGGGGTTGAGCATGTGTGTGTGTGTGTGTGATGTATGTACATATGGTGAGATGATAAGTGAGGCCGCTTCATCCCATGTTAATTAGTTTGGTGTGTTCCCCCCAGATTAGTCTTCTGAAAATTAGTCCTGAACTGCCAGAGAGTGTCGACAAGATAGAGGGGCTTTTGGACGGAGGGAAGAAGTGAGTAAAGGAAGGAAGGAAGGAAGGAAGGAAGATAAAGCAGAATCCTCTGGAGGGTTGGACTGGCAAGAAAATAAAATAAAAAGGACAAACCAAGGACAGAAAGGTAAAGACAGTGAGAGTTAAAAGACATAGAGAACACAGAAGGGACTGAGGAGTAGCATTCCAGAGAAATGCATTATTCTATTATTGCCTTTGTTGAAATGAGCTTTTCTTCATATACCGTTTGCATCTTAAACAATAAGCCAGAAAAGGTAGTGCTGTTGCTGCTGCAGAAAGACATAAAGCTAAATGTTGACTGTAATGTTTAGTCCCTCTCTTAAAAGATTTGTTTGTAATTGTAGCCCTTGGAAAAACAAAATCGAAAGAAGATACAGCAACATATTTTACTGAAGTGATTAGTTTTTATATATTTTGAATATATATGGTTACAACAGTATAAATGAGTTGCATTTTAGCTTGAAATCTCATAGCAAATTCACAACCTGAAACATAATAATCGTATAAGTAGAAAACAGGATATTAAATAAATCAATTAGAATAAAATTGTAGACATCACCGAGTGGTACGATGTCTTTTATGACAGCATGTCTGTTCTTTGAACTGTAGTATTTATTAGTTGTCAAGCAATGTAACCTATAGACACTACGTGTATAAAGGTTCCTCATTTTGTGGCATAAAATGTTCGACTGTGACCAGTGTTGATGTTGTGTGTTTGGCACAGCCCTACTACACCGTTTCCACCCACACCTGCTTCGTGTTTTACGTAAAGCTTTGGTGCTTAAACAGGGACTTGAGATGCCGTGGGACAGACCCTGTCCCGTCTGTCTGCACCAGGCTGGCATCTTCTGGGTTTGCTCCCTGACAATCAGCTGATAACAACTTGGCAGGAAGCTGGACCGACTATTGGAACAGATGGTTGTCTTTCTGTGTGTGTGTGTGTGTGTGTGTCAGGCCACAGAGATAGTGGTTTTTTAGCACCCAACCAGCATATTGTGTAAACCATCCGTCAACACTGGCTTTAAGGGTCGTTTCACCACACACACATATATGAAAGTATTATGTAATTGATTATTGAGTCCGTATGCCAACTTTAGACAATTGTCATCCACCTGGTCGCTGTGTGACTCCACACAGCTGGCTAAATGCGTCGAGGAAAACCGAGGCAATCATATTTTCCTCTCTCTTTGTACCCTTTTCAACTCGCCCTTTCTTTCTTTTTAGAGAATTATGTGTGTTTTCGATGTTTTCTTTATTTCAGTCCATTATATCCTCACCAAATATGTTAGATAGAATGTATCTACTACCTTCTTTTCTAACGGGGTTCATAGCTTTTTCCATTAACCAGTATTCCGTATGAAACATCGTATTAACAAATGAACAAAAGGTTACTCTGCAAAGAGTTTTAAACACCAGCACACCATTGTGTGTGCACGTAAAGGCAGACACACCAGGAGGTTTGTTTTTTTCTGGTTAATTTGCATGTCAATGCATTTCTTTGAACTGTTTTTCATTAGTACTTTCAAAAAGTATTTGGCTATTGTGCTAAAAAAAACATAATTTTTTTCAGAGCTTTTCATCGAGAACAAAGGCATCGACCAATCACGCTGTAGCAATATTCCTAAGGTGCACTGTAGTGTACAACAGCATGGAGGAAGATTACAACTAAATGATATTTTGACAAAGTCTCTCTGTTGTCTTGTCAACATTTTTCATTCTATAAAAATGAGAGGCAAATATAGTGTTAGTAGTTGCTGGACACAAAGGGAGGGGGATAACCATAGGCGCCAGAGTCATCTAACGGAGAGAAAGGAAGCAAGACCTGTTGCCATGGTGACACACCCCATGCGCAATGAGTGATTTTGTTGAATAAATGACCTCGACAAGCCAGATGTCTATCTGCCTATTGAAGACACAGAACCCGCAAAAGAAAGGCACAGGCCATCGACACTCCTAAAGAGACAACTTCAAAGAAAGGTGTGAATACAAAGAGGCTAAAGGAAAGGGAGAGTGACACAGACCGAGGAAAGGCGGAAAGAGGGAAAGTGTGTCTGACAAATAGGGAGATTGAGGGAAACATTGATAACACTGTAGCTGAAAATGAGATCAAATAATTGCTTGAATTTAAATAATGCACACACTTTGCAAAAGATTTTGAGACGGTCTGTCTTTTGCAGCTATTTACTTTAAAATATATATATATTTCTTCTGCATTTATTACAGACAGTTGAGAGATGACAGATACTTCCCTCCTCCACCCTGGCTTGACTGCCACACCCTCCTCCAGCCACTGAACATTTGCACCAGAATGTTTTTTTCTACTACTTTTTACTGTATTAATCATACTTATACCTACAATACCTCTTAAATATAATATTACTAATACCTCTTTCACTTCATCTCACTTACCACCACTAATACTTACACCTGCACTTTACATATGCTTATCATACCTACACTTCTTACCTCAATTGCTGCTATTCTTGTCCCAATTACTGTTCATATTGCATATCCATTTCTTACTATTCATATTGCATATCTATTTCTTACTGTACACATCTGTTTATTCACTTATTACACTTTACATATGCACATACTCTGCACTTTTTGCTATTTTGCACTTCTGGTTGGATGCTAAACTGCATTTCGTTGCCTCAGTACTTAGAGAATAAAGTTGAATCTGAATCTGAAAGGAAAGCTCTGCAGCGGCCACAAGCTGTAAGCACAACGTTGACTTATTAACTCCTCATAAAGTTGTTAAGGTGAATGTGTTAGCAAATACTTGATTTTACCAGGCAATATTATTATTAAGCTAAAGTCTTGTCACACAAGTTTCATTAACTGTGAAACAGTTTTTTGGTCAAACCCCCCGAGGGAAATATCTCACTTCTCACTTTAGCTTGTAAATTATGTTCACCGGCTAGTCTCTAACTGGGTGTCTCTGCTGTTTGGTGCTATGGTGCTGCACAGAGACCTTTTGGTGGTCTTTAGATGAAACGGCTGCCTGATGCGGCAGAAGATGTGTGAGCGGCGAGAGCAGCGATGGTTATCCAGTCTCAGCTAATCAATTAGCTAAGTGATACGCATTAGCCTGTTCTTATGATCAAACTCTCTATGGCTTCTACAATGATGCCTGCAGTGAACGTGGATGTCCAGCTGTTTGCAGAACAGTCAAAACTTGGGCCTTTCTGCACATTTTAGGGTTTTGCATGTTTGCTGTGTGTGTGTGTGTGTGTGTGTTAGAACGTACAACTCCACCACTCGTGCAAAGACGCAGATATAGAGAGACGAGGTTTGCGGCCCTTCCTTTTTTTTTCACTGGGATTTTACTCTTTAACTTCTAGCAACCGACAGCCCAACCATTACCTCCGGACCGGATTGATACTCAAGTGTTACGGCCCTTTTGTAGACTCCAGGACAGTAAAACAACAATCAAAGACAGGCGACAGAGTCAGGGTAAAAGGTGTCTTTCTAGTTTTTATTCTTACACAAAAAGATGGCTCCCAACAGGAGGGAGGGAGATGGTGGAAGATGGGACCTACAGGTTGTGCCAAACAAATGAAATGAATATAACAAAACGAGGCCTAGCTCACCACTGGCTCTTCATCCAAAGCAAGTCAAACAAAATACCTTACCTCCTTCTCTAAAAAAGGACTAAAGGAAAACGTTACACAGGAGGCAACAACCACTACACCTAGTGTGTCTATACAAAGGTATACCTACGTGCAAGAATGTACAGGGTACCCCAACTTACTAAGGTCCTCAACCTCCACCTTACCAAACTCCAGTTTTGCTAGCAGCCTGCTAAAGCTCATGTACAGGAAGACTGGCCACCAGCCCGCAGCACAGAACACACCCACTTCACTTCTCAGGAGTCTTCCTTTATGGACTGCCACCGGAACTGCTGATTGCTTTCCACCTGTGTTTGGAGTTGGCCAATCAGCATAATCACTGGGGGAGAGAAACCAATGAGCAGGAGGGAGAACGACAAGAACACATGCAGACCGTCCCCGTCTGGCATGTAACACCCCCACCCATATAAGCTCAGAAAAAAAATGAATGCCACAAAAACAATCTCCCATAAAGTTACGATCTAAATTAATAGGGGAACAACTATACCGCACGAGACAAGGCATCAGC